AAGCTGAAATCTATTTGTCATCTTTGGGTATGACAATCTATAAAAACTCTTCCAGTTCTAACTCCCAGAAATACACCATCAGAAATTTGAAAGCTGTGCCCAGTTCAATATGTACTTTGGTCTTTCCAGGCTCCCTGTTCTCTAGGCATTGCATTTACATCAAATGGGATCCTGGGGCACTGATGTCTTCATACCCTACTGTAAAGCTCATCGACAGACAGCCTAGTCTTGTACTTTAGGTATCCTTGCACTTGTCATGTAATGAATGCTTTCCCCAGCGAAGTTTCCTTTTTCTTTGCACATTCACATAAGCTCTTGGGTGTGGAATCTAAATTCCTGACTATCATAACATCTTCCCCAGCCATGTGTGCTGTTGAATGCAAAGAGTTTATAAAGAGAGGGAGTTCATACCTGCTCCCTGACCACTCCCAGCACTTGTCTGAGCTCATTCTGTATTTCGTAATTGATTCCCTCCTTCCTGATGATTGCTCAGCAGGAGAGGAACCTAAAGCATTCATCTTCAGTTCTCAAACATGTGCTTGTGTCTGAATCTCCACATTGTACATTTGGGTGTTTATTTTATAATACAAATAATTTATAATTTTGCGTGTTCATTTTATTACCATTGTGTAATTCTACAGTTATATATTGTGTAATTATGAGCATGCAAAAAAGTGTTGTATTCAAAATTTTAGATGCCTTCAGCTACTATTTTTAAGACTTGCACCCTAATGAGTATCAATTCAACACGTCCTTGTATGTCATCCTTGATCTTGAAGTCAGTGGGAAGGAATGCTGTGCTTGTGAGGTAGGACCAATGTGATCCCTCGGTGTAGCATCTCAGTGGGATCATTTTACATCTTCTTTTACCACTCAATCCAACCAGAGCATTTAAAGGCAAAGCCTTAGCCATGAGTTCCTTTGAGACAATATATTTTCCTTTTACCTGGCAGCTAGTATCCAGGGTATAGTATTGTAATTTCTAAGATTCATAAAGATAGTTTTAAAATAACTTTGCTGAAAGGAAATGAAAGGAAGGATGGTAATCTTAATTTACTAGTCATGTGTCATAATTTACTGGGAATAATTTGTAAAGAGAATAAAAGCAGCACGTAATACCAAATGATTAAGCAGCATAAAGTATGTTGCCATCCACCTACAGTAGTGAGCGTATCATCCTGGAAAAGGGAGTGAATGGCCACAAGTGTGCCCCTGGCACAGCTGTATGGCCTTCTCTGAGCTGGTCTAGATGACATCCTGTTCTGCACACTGATGAACACAGCAACCAAAAGTGTATTTAAGAGCTATTGTTAACCTCAGTCTTTTGCACTGATTTTCACAGATATTATAAAATGTGAATATGATATTGTCAGATGAGCCAATGCAGCAACTTGTATGCTCATGATGAAAGGTCTGGCCATTAGCAATATTGTACTTTTTTGCAATTGATTCTTTTAGAATTTATATTAAGTGTAAAAGAGACAAAAATAAGATTCAATACACCTTAGTTAGAAATAAAGCCACAGTATGAACTCCTGGATGATAAGGATCATGTGTTTTTCCTCTAAACTGGGCATCACCCCTGGCAAAATAATCCAGGGACTTTCGGTGTCTTAATCCCTGAACTTCAATTTGCTTGTCCTTAAAATGGGGATAACAGAAGTACCTGCCTCAGAGAATTGTGAAAATTTAACAATATATATATATATAACGCCGAAACCGGTTTGGCTCAGTGGATGGAGCGTCGGCCTGCGGACTGAAAGGTCCCAGGTTCGATTCCGGTCGGGGGCATGTACCTTGGTTGTGGGCACATTCTCAGTGGGAGGTGTGCAGGAGGCAGCCGATCGATGTCTCTCTCTCATCGATGTTTCTGACTATCTCTCTCCCTTCCTCTCTGTAAAAAATCAATAAAATATTTAAAAAAAAAAAAAAACAATATATGTACATTGCTTAGTACAGACCTTATAGGACTTGTTAGAGGGCCTTGTTATTATAGTTGCTACTATGACTACTGCTTCCAACAATAAGGGAAAAAAGCTTCATTATAGATCTTGTCTCCATTGTCCATAAAATAGTTCCTATTCTTTCGCAGGTCTTCTAACGCTATTATCATCTTATGTGAGCAGCTCAGTTTCCTGTGACTGTACTTCCTGCCCCCTGAACTACAGCCATTGAACTTTACAGAGCTTTCATATCTCTGCTTTCTCTGCCCCAGAGTCACTTCCTCATTGTTAAGGACTTCCCCACCCCCCACCCCCAATATATTTTTATTGATTTCAGAGAGGAAGGAAGAGGGAGAGAGAGAGATAGAAACATCAGTGATGAATCATTGATCGGCTGCTTCCTGCACACCCCCTACTGGGGATCGAGCCCGCAATCCGGGCATGTGCCCTGAGGGGGATCAAACTGCGACCTCCTGGTTCATAGGTTGACGCTCAACCACTGGGCCACACTGACCTGGCTGTTAAGGACTTGTTAACTGCCCCTTCTTTGAGAAGCTGTTCCCAACACTCCTGTGATGTGCCTTGCCCATCCTGTCTGTGTACCAGTTGTAACTCATTACCTCATACTGTTGTTACTTGTTTACCTATCTAGCATCTTTGCTAGCTGTGAAGATCAGAAATCGTTACTTCATCTCCATATTCTTCTGGTGCTTGGCACATCAGTCCAACAAGACTGATGAGTCAATGGATCAACATGAGTAGGAGTACTGTGGATACTAAAAATGTTTTGGAAGATAATTAATGAACATTAGCGGTTAATTATTTATTAAAACCTCATTAGTGGATGGTGGCTTGCGCGCGCGCGCACAAACACACACACACACACACACACACAATAAAGAATAAAAGGGAACGAGAAACTAAGATGGCGGCATAGATAAACACCGGGAAATTGCTGCCTCCCACAACAATTGAATAATACATCAAAAACACAAAACAGATATCATCCAGAACTACAGGAAGGCTGGCTGAGTGTAAATTCTCCAACCAGAAGGAAAGAAAAGCAAACTGAGAGCCAGAGGAGCTGCGGAAGTAAAGTGCAGAGGTAGGGGGCTCACGTGCAGAAAGGGTCTGGCACCTGAGGACGCGGCTGTCTTTTTGAATCCGGAGGGAGTCACAAGCTCCTGACGGCTCTGAACTTCG